GGAAATTTTTAGGCAATTATGTCAAACTGTTATTGTCATTAAAACAATCTTAACAGTATTATTACATCCTCAATAGTAATCCAAAAATGTTAAACAAAGTAGTAATAATGTCCTAGTCACTTGATGCTTTTTAGGAAGTTTTAAATAATGTGAGAAGATGAAATGTCATTCCATGTATTACATATCACCGTGGTTACCTTTCTTGGTAAGTTATAGTTGGGAAATTTCAAAAGAATGCTGCCAATTAGATATACATGACAGATTAAAAATAAAAGGCTCTCTTGTAATGACATTTATATTTATAAGCTAAATTTAAGAACCACGAATAGACTCCTTATGTTAACAGAGATTAAAAATGAAAAAGCAGCATACCCTAAGCAAGAGAAATTCTGGTTTCACAAAGTCCAGCAAATACATGGTATCAGGAGCTCGAAGCCAATCTGCGATGGATCTGTTGGTGAAGGACATCAGTGAGGGTTACTGCTCAAGTAGAAGACAAGATAATCAAGAATCTCAAGATGTATTTCAAAACACCACTGCTCCATTTTTTTTATGTACTACTTGATACCCTCTAACATAATATGTATTATGTGTATATATCTTACTAACTCCATGAGGGCAGGTATTTTTAGTTTTGTTTTGTTCAATGAAGTATCCAAAGTGCCAGGAAAGCACTGCCATCACATTCGTCCACATAGTAGGTGAATAAATATCTATTTGTAACCACTTTGTTAATTCTGCACATACTCACTTTTTCTAAGGGAAGAAATTTGGAACACTGAAAAGTTTCCTGAATCTTAAAATATTTTTTAAATTCCAAGACTTAAAACATGGTATAATGTCTCCTATGCAACTTACTCTTATAAGTAAAATGTAACAATAGATGCCAAAGGTCTACTTTCAAATGTCAGCACTAATTACAGGGAATTGGGAAGGTAGAAGGTTTGGTCATTAGGAAAACTCTTGAACTAGGCAGAAACCATTTTTATAAATGGAAACCAAGAACAGAAGAATGCTAAGCATTTCTGGCTTAACCAGTCCTCACAATGATAAGCAAAATTAATGAAAAGAAACTTGGACATTGTTTGGGTTTCAGTGACATCAACTACGAAACAGAAATGAATAAAAATTGGAAATTATATTGTCAAATAGCATTAAAATAGCAAATGTATTATTTCAAGGTAAAACTTGTGTAACTTACAGTATTTGAGAGAATGAATGGTTAATCTCACAAAAAGGGAATAAATATATAAAGTAATTTTACTACTGACGTCAGAAAGGATATCATACTGTCATGATGAGGGGCAGGGGGTAGGTGGGTACAAATACCTGTTATTGGTTTTTAAGTAGATCATAGCCAAAGCCAGAGTTGCACCTGGACAAGTCACATCCACATTAATGGTATCTCCTTCCTATTGAAAGAATAGTTTATTCGT